AGCCTTAGTTATGTAACATAGCTACGCCAATTGATTGATTATAGTTGACTATTTTTGATCGATTCAATCCATCCGGAAGCAGAAGAAGAGGGAGAAGAAACTATAAAGTGGACAGAATAAATGACCTAAAACATCGAATTGGAAGAAAGCGAAATGCATATTATTTTATTATTAAATAAAAAGGGGGGATTTTTTATTTAAAAATTATGAAATTTGATAAGTCGGATCTCTCCGCCCCGACGAGTCCGACTTATCGAGAGTGCCTATGTATAATTTATGTAACGCAAATTATATATATAATTACGGAAATTATATGGCGACGCAAATTATATATCATCCATCAAAATGTAGCATTAAAGGATGCGCGTCATGCAGAGGTCTCACAACATTCTAAAATAGGAAACCTTTGGTGTTATTCTTCTTATAGAGACTTTCTTATTATTATAAAATCTCGGCACAAACTTTCTTATATCTAATATCGAGAGATTTATAATAAACTTTCTTATATAAAGAAATTTTCGTAGTAAAAATCGGACCAGCCAAAAAGTTTTCTTATAGGCTATCTTTCTTATATCGAAGGGTTCTTATATCGAGAGCCACTTGTAATATCAGTATGATACTGACATACCAATACCAGAACCTGTGAAAGAAATTATTGAAAATCTGTTTAGTATTAGCATTAATGCTAGGTACAATAGTTTTGAAAAACATGGCAATACATTACTTTTTTGCTGGTTAGAAATCTTCATATCTAATATGGCAAATAACGGATTTTAAATAATAATAAAGGAACTTCTCTAAAAGTTTATTTTCAGAGCAGACAGTAATGTTATCCGGGATCAACTCAAATTCTGAAGGTTTGTATTTAAAGGCTAAATGTTATGCGGCTAAAGATTAATAAATACTTTATTTACCAAGCATTCAAATGAATATACAAAAAAGCAATATATTTTGGTATTAACATTGCAATTTTATGTATATATTACCTATAATGTGCGCGCTAAATTCTGTATTAATTTCACGGTGAATATTCTCATTTAATTACAAACCTAGGGTGGTCGGTGCACTTTTGATCGCATAAACAAGGGCTTGCAGAAAAATGGTATTTATAAACATGATCAACACCCTTTTCATTTAATTGTATACAAACGACTAGCATAATATAAAAGAGTATAAACAGAATCTATAAATGACTCTTGATTAAATACAATTCATCATCACAAGTTTTTAAGACAAGACTACAATAATGCAAATTTTATGCTTGGCTCTAATTCTAACAAAGTCAATAGCCAAATTTACGTTAATATTACAACTTGCGATTTTTTACAAATATGAAAATCAGAAGACACAAAATTCTATATTAAATAAGCTATAAGTTTACCTCTTAAAGAATTCAGCGCGGTCTCGATCCCAACAACTGAAGTTGCTCCAACCGCTACAACCTGGTTCCCAACATCAATATATGTCTTTTCACATTGTGAACATCATATTCATGTCCATTGGATGAGACCTAAGTTGATAATCAACATAGTACAAAATTAGTTTCACAATTACTTGTTTCATTTTAGCGTACAGTCTTGGTAATCATCTCTATTACTAATCAATACACTGTCCATCCAACCTATTCTCAATACTTACGAACTAAGCTGCGGCTTCTGCGAATACTTTGCAGCAAGAATTTCTCTAACACCATTTAATAGCTGTTGGTATGTTATGTTTTTGTTTTGGCTCAATCTGTGAAAAAATTTCCAAATAATAAATACGGTGACGATGTCATCGAACTTTATCTTATCATGGGAAGTATCAATATTTGAAGAAGTATGAGCAAGCGTCTTACGTTTTGATAAATGCATACGACATGGCTCCGGTGTTCTGCCCAGCCTCCATTGTATCCGCGGATGTCTGTAAATCTTTACAACTAGACCCACATAAAGCCAGGAAGTTAGTCAAATTTTAACGCTCTACGTCAAATCCTCTTCGACCTTCCCCTCCCCCACCTCCTCTTTGATTACATTCGTAAAACTCACCCACTGAACATTATAACATCCGCGGGACTACTCTTGGTTTCCTTGTTCTTTTTTGCAACTTTCTGTCCAGTCGCCGCTTTTTTCCCGAGCGCAAACAATGAGGCACCTATCGCCTTTATATCTCCACGTAGGTAGCTCTTTCCGGCGTCCATGAGTGACGATTTTGCGTCAGAAAGGAGGTTAGGCTCTTTGATCAAACCTTTCGTTGAGTAAAGGTACGGAAGATCGAGAGCGGTACCGGAATGGCAGGAGTCAAATATTACGGTCAAACGACAGCCTGGGGGAAGTGGACGAACTAAAATAGCGTGCATCTCCTGAATTAGAGTGGAAAGGCGAAGAGGAAAATAGATTGTTAAAAGTTAGAGAAGAGAGATCGGACTCGCGCGCATGAGGAATGAAGTAGAAAGGATTAAGTTTCTGAAGATTGATGATGCCATAGTGTGTGTCATCATGAAACTAAAAATGACAACAATCTTCCAGGTATTAAATGTAATCTATTCTTCACAGACCCTCTTGTCCAATTATTACTGATTATTCTTTCTTCATAATCATCCGACTTATTTCCGCATACCCCTCATTTCACCAGTCACTCTTCAAGCTCCAACTCTCATTCTGTCCCAAACAATTTGATTCCTTCCCGCCCACATACTCACATCGTCAACTATCTCTCCAGCTGTTTGAAAATCCACGGGCATAATTGTCTCGTCATAACCATCGTCTTCATCCCCATCGGTATCTCTTTTCTGCCCACCGTGACCTGAAAAGTGCAAAAAGAACGAATCGTTCGGGGCCGCCTTACTAACCAGCCAATACATAGCAGCAATAATGTTGGAGCGGGTTGGAATCAGTTTTGGATCGCGCTGTTCGTCAGTGAGAATCACCATATCGCACTCGCGAAAGTTGTAGTTCTTAATAACAAATTTTTTTATGTTATTTACGTCATTTATACAGCCTTTGTTTATGTTTATGATTATGATGAAAGAAAAGGCAAGAGTGAGTTGTCTCGCATTTCACTGCCAAGTTTTGCAAATAAAGAAATCCGACTATTTCCATCTCAATTTACGCACTCTTACTCTTTTTTCATATACACTTCTCCTGCTGGGACATTACCTTTCAACTCAAACCTGGTTTTTACGTAATTAATCCCAATCAATAGAGCTCTTTTTCGTCCTGTGCAAGCGCTTAATTGGAATCCTTGATGTGGAGGCCCTGCATTATAACCGTGCTGATGACCTGCATTAGGTGGAGGTGGATATGGTCCGTGATGGGATGCACCGGATGGAGGAGCATACGGACCTGGTGGTGGAGCGTATGGATTTGACTGCGGAGCATACGGATTTGGCGGTGGAGCGTACGGATTTGGATTTGGTGGTGGAGCGTATCCTCCTGATGGAGGAGGATAGGTTGTTCCGCCAGGCGGAGGATAGCTTGCACCAGGATACGGCCCACCGGGTGGAGGAGCATAACCTGCATTAGGATAGGGTCCACCAGGTGGAGGCCCATAACCTCCAGTTGATGGCATCGGTGGATATGCACCATATGTTCCGGGCGGAGAAAACCCTCCTGGGCCACCGTAAGGTGGTGGAGGTGGTTGATAATTGGAATTATGTTGTCCTGGCGCACCCACAGGTGGATATTGCGAGTTATGTTGACCTGGCGCTCCGACCGGATGGGCCGGGTTAGGAGAATTCTGTTGTTGCTGTCTGTATTTTTGACCCGGGTACATTTGAGATCGGTATACGTTTGAAATGTACAAGTAGTATGTGGAAATGGTAAGTTAGTGATTATGTAGCCAATAGATTATAATTTGGGACGGTTCTCTTTAGAATATTTTAATATTAGATTAACTGTGCATTGTATTACGCAAATTGTCTAGAAAATTTTTGGATGTTAACCTAAATAGATGAAATCTATGGATTGTGTTACTGCTGGAAAATGTATACCAGGTCACTTAAGGTGTGACATCATCATAAATAATCATTACGCAAGGCTCACAAAGTTGAATAATGGCAATAACATTCTTATTTGTTTGTATTCGTAGACTATGGGACATCATAGAGTGTGGAATTACATAAATGGCACAGTAAGAACCCGACGAAATTTGACTAGTTACTATTATGAGCGTATTATCTATTGCGTAATGTTGGCGTTGGCTTTTACAGTTTCAGGCAATGGATAATAGCTAGCTATAGACGGGTTTTGCACTGTTAGACAGAAACAATAAAACAGTTGCTATACATATTCCGATTAGAACCACCGTTAATATTAATGACAACAGCTGTTTATTGTGACATGCCTAATTAATATACGATAGCGTGTAATTAATTAAGAGCAAGGTTATCGAAAACAACAATAAATAAATATAGTCTAGAATACCGTTGCTGTTAAAGTTCGATGTTTTAAGTGTAAGCTTTCTATGCTAATTAGCTAATATGGAATATATTTGGAAACATTTAGTAACCAATTATTTAACACCCAACAATTTGTTCTCGCGTTATTGTGCTGCAATCATCAGTACCATGTGAAGTAAAATAATTCACGCTCGAAACCCTATTTTTCAACTCAAAATGTTAAACTCCTACTGTTGCATTTAACTAAATTCTTAGTGTTGGAACATAATTAAAACACAAAAACGGTTGTTAACTGTTCTCGCACCAGGGTCTCAGTAAATATTAGGCAACCTGGAATAAGGCACAATTGATGGCTACGGTGTCTGAAATTTATTGCTGTTGCTTAACAGAGCAAGGCAAGCAATATATTTAGCTGCTTTCCATAAAGATGTCTTAATATTTTTCTAGCACTAAAAGTTCTTTCACAGGAAAGACTTTCTGCACGAATGGTATTATTGTATTGCAAACAAACAAGTGGTTTCGTGAGCTTGAAGCGTAAGTCCTTATAGATGAAGCTATTTCGCCGCAAACCTTAAACAAGTTTCTTCCACAGTTTATGTATAGTTTTACGTTCCTGTGAATAAAACGCGCTTACGGCGTGGCAGAGCATAATAAACAAGCGTGAATATTTAACTCTTTTCATTATAATATAACATCTCTCTATGCTAAAAAGGAAGAATTAATCGCTTACCGTACCTACTTGAATTATCTCCAAGTATGGATAGACGCTGTCTTATGTGTCTCGGCGAGAGAGTATTAACGCAAAACTAAAGCTAAATACGTGTAACTGAGGTAACTCGAGAACTACAGCAATAGTGAAAGCATATGCATTAGATGTTTTAGCCAGTTAATTCACTGCATTGATATATTTGCATGAATATTCTAGTTTATGTGGAGTACTGTTCTCCGGGAGGCAATCTTTTCACCGACAATATTCACCAACATTACTTCAAAGTCAACCTTTTTTGGCAGTTGATTGATACGGACCCCCCCCCCGTTCTCCAGAATTACTTAAGATTTCGCTGTCGAAACACGTATACTCCATGCTACGCAAAGAGTCAACTACGCTGAGACAATACGTGCACGCTTCCGGAAGGAATCTGCTCGTTTAAATACGGATAATATGGTATGATAAGAATCAGCCCATGGAATACATCGGTGAAGTGGCAGCGAAAAAAACTCTTCACTTCAGTGCGGAATTTGATACAATCTGACATGCTATGAATATTATCGGAGTATGAATCTTTCTTTTATTTAAGAACTGCCCAGACATTTTCTATAGGATTGGGTCAAGGCCATGGCAAAACCATTCAACAGACATTCTTCGAAATCCTTGCACATTCTTTGACGTATATTTAGGATTATTGTCTTGCTAAAAATTTAAATATTTTTCTATATATTCTACCAGCATTGGCATGCAAGAATGATTGATGATGGACCATTTTCTGTAAAGCAAACATCCCGATTTGCAATATACACGATGAATCTTTTTATAATGGAGACAAAAAATCCAATAGGTTTCTACACTATAACGAGATATCCACCAAAAAAACCTCATGTGTAATGATATACAGTATACTATAGCGAATACGTGTATTATGGGATTAATCGTATTTAAAGTCAATTGTGTTGGTTTTGAAAGTATTTAATAATACCAGACTGCCGCTTTTTTTTTTTTCCAAACAATTTGATGTTTTAAATCGTATAACATTTTCATAAACGCCAAATCAATTCATTTTCTTACTACATTCGTTAATCTTTCCAAACCATCCGTTACTTTTACCAAGGGTTCCGACTTTTTATTATTATCTGGCTCTTGATCTTCTCGCCACTTACAAACTTGACAATGTCCTCATCTGTCATTTTTTTATAACGAGTAATAGCTTTATCAATTACATATTTTGCCCCAGCCAAGGCAATAGCTTTTAGACGTTTCTTGGCTTCTATCCCTAGACTGTGAGAGATCCATCTTCTGTTTTTTTTTTCCCTCTAATTAAACCAATTATTTATATTATCCCCCCACTATCGAATGAAACTACTCAATATATTGTGGACTCCATAATATCTACATACACAATATAGAGCGCCAATCAATCAAGCATATTTCCTTACTCAGAAGTAAAAATCCACTGTAACGGAGTTCCACTATAAAGAGGTCCACTATAAAGAGGTACATCGTATAATCTTTAGAAATTTCTACTGCATTCTGTCTATTGAATCTGGTGTCCACGGTTCCAAATGCACTTCACAAAACGTAGATACAGTGGTGTGCAAAAAAAAAAGATAGTTTACAGTATTTTCTATAGTTTGTTTATACATAGCCTTCCCAATTTTAGACTCATTCATGTAATGTAGAGAAAAAAAGAAGAAGTTTAGTCTTCGTGTTATTTATTTTACGCAATTATAAATTTAATCGCTTGCAAACTCTGTTATTCTATTACAAAATGGCTCCATCTAAGCAAGAACATTTCTAAATCAGGACACATGCAATACTTCGAAATATACAAGGATTCCGCTTAAGACTTTTATATACTGGAATCTCAAAAGTTTAATGAAACTGAAAATTTAGTGAATTGGAAAGGTTTGCGGGTTGAATAGTGGAATACTATTCCAGATAGCATTCTAATTAGTCTAATACGTTCAACAGAACAACACTGTAGATGAATTATTACAAAACGTAGTGAAATGTTTTAAAACGCGTCTATTCTTATTATGTAGTTTCGTTATTGTAAAAAGGTGAGACGGTTCTACCGCCAGTACTTTTTTCTGGGACCGTGATGTATATTTTGTTTTACTTCTGCCGTTTATATTAATATTAATATTTTATTTCCATAAAATTAATTTGTTACCAAACTATTTGAAGGTTACGTCTACGTGTATCGCTCGCTCACTCCAAGCTTCTCTCACGCCTCTGCCAATCGGCCTATAAACAGGAACATCTTTCAGCCAATCAAGCAGTACATTAAAACATTGCATATTAATATATTTGAAAAAGATTGCCTGATTTGTTTAATCAACAACTTGGTCTATTCCGAAAATACACTCTATACTTAAGACAAAAATGGCAATCTAACAAAATACGAAACATGAATAGAAAGAGCGGTAGGTATACCAAAATATGGGAAGTTGTCAGGGTCATCGAGGTATTACTATTTGATAAAAGCTAAATGACGAACGGGTGATCCGATCTTGTAATCATGCATCGGAGTACGGCAACGAATTACAAATGTGAAATAATAACCCCGGATGGTTTCATTATTTTGACGCATGGTGACTATATCCCTGCTATATAGAAAGTTACGTAGCATATGATGACATAATTAGTATGTCATAAGACCATGACCATCATTATTGATGTTATATTCTAAGGTCATGTTTTATGCCAATAACGTCATCTCACCTATTAATGGGCTTATATATTGCTCATTTGATGATCGTTTCAGCGAAAAATGCTTGTTGCATAGAATTCTTGATGCCAAAAATGACAAGTTCTATATCGCTAACGTTGACGCTAGTTTTTTTGGCTGCTTGTGAACCGATATATTGGTTCGAAAGAATAAATCATTGAAATCTGCCGTTTGTCAAAATCAATAATGTGTGCATTCGATAGTAATTCGTCTAGTAATTCTCTGTTCGCCATAAGAAAGTTTATTGTTTGTCCTTAATTTTGTTGATTGTATCATCTAATTCACTTATTCACTGTCGCGAATTCGACCTGCTTAATGAACTGATTACAAAATGATGGCTTGGCACTGTCATTTCACGTTTAATTATTCGGAATTACTCCGCCAGGAAAATTCGTGGTATTCTATTTTTGGGTCCCTTTTTATTTTTCTTGTTGCACGTTTTTCTGTATGATTGGCATTGAGGATAGTCCAATTTTGTTTGACCTTATGCCTTGTTCTCTGTCTCATCATATTTCTAACAGCGCTTGTTATTCGACAAGAGGTATACAAGTTCTCATATTAATTCAATTGATTTCTCTTTTAGATGCTCACGGATGGATGCATATAGTTTTCCATTCATGTTCCAAGTTGCCCGTTGAGAAATGCTCATACTATTCTAGGAAAGCTTTATGTACTTTATTAAACTTTTGGTATTTTCGATAAGCATCCCAAGAAACTATTGCTGATCTACTCGAAAATTAAACGCTAAGGGCTTTTTTCCAGTATTACAAAGTTGATCGTTGCTGCCGAATATTCACCTTTGTTCAGTTCTGACTCATGTAACTTTCTTTTGTGGACTCTTACAAACGTTCCTTGTACACATTTGCCATAGTAAGCATATTTAGCGACGTTGAAAAGAAGTAACACTTTTAACTATTTTTAGTATCAAGCAAACGCCTTTCTTGGTAGGTAACATGATTTGGTACGCTCAGTTTCTTGGTAGAAACTATTTGCACGAATTTGACTCGAGAGAATGAGTACTTTGACATTTTGACCTCGACTATTTTACTTCGCAGATATCACCATCAGTGACGCTTGACGTTTCTACCGATTCATGTGAGCGCCGAATTATATTGCTTCTTCTTCTTCTTCTTCTTCTTCACTTACTTGTGTTGTTGATTTTGTGATCTGATTTTCATAGCGTGATTTTATTATACGGCCTGATTTATGCTGTAGTCATATCGTGAATTATGACTCGTAACCAAATGAGGCAAAGGATCGATGTATTCTAGCACAAATATTCATATATAGAAATGACATGATTTATTGATATAATTAAGGGGATATAAACGAGGTAATGTCCATAATAAATTGGGATGCAACTGAGGTAGATTTATTATTACATGGAACTAATACTAAAACCGTCCAGTCTCAAAGCTAGGATACAACCGAGGTTGGGATACAGTGGGGACAGTTCACACAGTCTATCAATATTAATATTAAATGTGATATATGAATTACTGTATTATGTATGTCTTTTTACATAAATTTCGCTAGGTAGTGAAGACTGGAATGAGCAGTGATCTTCACCGGATAAACGTGATTGAGGCTATAAATGGGATTAAAGTTTCACCTTTGCAGTTACTATTAAAATATACAGAACGTATTATAATACTATTTGTTTGTTTATTTAAGTACTATATTTTACTAACTCAGTTTATACCGAAGGCAGTAGTTCCCTCGAAACGTATGGAATAGCATCTGTGTTACTATGCAGTGTAAGGGGGCCAACCGGTATAACAAAAATGACTAATCTGTATATTTAATTAATAACATACTCGTAAACAGTAGAAAGAACTATTCTCCCTCTGGCTACTGGAAGAGCCAAAAATATATATAACTCTTTGAGGCGAGTGGACTTCCTGGTGAGTGTCGAAAAAAAATAACTGCTTCACACGAACAACCAAACGAAAGAACAAACAACAAAAAGCAACATTTTAGATATTACAACGACTATTGATACAAACTGTTCTCAATTATACAAACAATACAGAATACAGTCTTTCGACTCTAGACAATATACAAATAGAAAATACTTACGTCGACCCGCACTTGATACAATTTGCTCACTAATAGACTTACATACTCAAAACACACACAACCCTCCTCTTTCTACCTCATACAACTTACCCCCACCACAAAAATGCGTCTCTTTTCAACTAAATCCATGACTCAACCGAGCTTGTCTCGTCGTAAGCCCACTCGCCCCAAATACCCCACATTCGACTCACTATTACCAGATACTAATGAGGCAGTATCGATAAGACAGGAACGACCGCAAAAGCAGACACAGTTACTTTCCACCCCAACAAACGAACTGGATGCATATTCCTACTCTACGCTACCAGAAACTGAGTATACACACTCCATTCCAATAACTTTCTCTCAACGCCCGACGTTTTCGTATTCTCCAATACCGAGGCGATATTCTACGCAGCCATCTTCAATAACAAACACAATTTACTCTCCGTCCTTAAACTCATCATTGCCACATTTGACTCGATCTATCTCGACCTCGACTATAGAAACAGCATCATGCTGTAGTACTCCCGGGACTATAACGAATGGCTACGAAGATGGATCCTGTAATGTGATTGCAAATGACGAAGATTGTGAAGGAGGACAAATACAGGATAGTCGATACGAAAAACAGACAAATACAATAATAAACAATTCTAGTGTAGGCAGCAACAATGACTATAATAATAGCAATGATAATACCGCCAACAATAACACCAACAACAGCTCTCAGAAATATGGCTTGTATTCATACGTCTCCTTTCCGTCATTAGATTGCCTGGTCGATGACTGTTGGTTAGACGTAAAAGTAGAGAAAAAGAGAGAGAGCATAAATTTTGATTTGGAACTGGAGGAGTATGATGAAATGATTGTTGGAGGGGTCAGGTTTGAATACTAAGGAGACAAATAGACGACGTAGAGAAAGAAAAGAGACTGTACGGATGTTGTAATTACAGCTAACACTTTATTATGTATATGGTTATATTCATTCATTTGTTTCATTCATTCACACTTTCATTCTAATTCATTCATTCATTCATTTTGGTCGTTAAAGTTAAATTGTCACTATCTGCATGTAAACATCAATCAATTAGTAGTTTTCTCGATTTTTGATACGAGAAAAGACCACATATAACTGCAATTAAACAATATGCATAAAATGGTTATTGAACAACATGGAGGAACGGTTAAAGAATGAGGCCCTAATTGCCGAAACTGACTGTATTGGGGTAAAGATGCTGTGCGATCAATATGAAGCAACTTTCATGTTTCCCTTTGTTAGTCCCTTTATTGTTATTATATTATATCGATAGATAACTACAATCGATAATTGACACTTTTCGTTGTAGTAAATAGTAATAGTAATAGTAATAGTAGAAAGACATGTATTTTTATTTTTATAGCTAAAAAGAACAAAGATATTAAAACTTATTCACACATTGCCAAAACATAGATATCAAACTTGTTCATATTCACACATTGCACAGTCGATTAATTGATTGATTGGGTTTGAATCACACTTACTCATTTTCATCGACAAACTTTTTTATACTGCGCCTGGATATGATATAAAACTAAACAAACACCACATGCAATTCACACGTCAAGAATAATAATTATTATTATTTTACCATGGCAACTGGCACTAACGCTAATATTAATACTGCTATCGTTACTACTGCCCAATCAAATGTTCGGTTTATCGGTCCGCATTATCTTTCTGTCTTTCCCTACTACCTTTCCATTCCGTCTCCGGATGACATCCAATCGCTCGAATACCACCTGTCTGACTCGAATCCTGACTCGGAATCAATACACTATTGGACTCTTGCAATACCTCGACCATATGGAATAGAAGATGCAGAAAAGTTTGTAAACAACTGTTTGGACAGAACGAAAAAGACGGGTGTCTGTTTGCAGTGGGCAATTAGAGTTCAGGAGGAAAGGACGGGAAACAATGGGAACGATTTAAGACCTCATGATCCCGTAAACTCCCGCTTTATTCCTACGCTAGTTGGGATGATCGGAGTACACCTCAGCTCAAATGACCCCAAAAGATATGAAATCGGATACTGGCTTTCGCTTACTCATCGTAACAGAGGGGTCGTCTCTTCTGCCGTCGCGAAAGCATGCGAAATTGTATTTGAAGGTCTGGGGGAAGAAGAGATTTATAGTCAGACGCTTGTTGGAAATCTGAGTAGTAGGAAAGTGTTGGAAAAGAACGCGTTTGAATATTTGGGCGTTGTTGAAAGTAATAGTGGAGATGTCGCTGATAATGATGATAACGATAATAGATCAAGTACGGATATCGACGCCACTGCAGCAACTATAACTACAGCAGACATCCCCATCACTTCTCCTGCAAAGAGCATCCAACACACGTGGTTATTCCGTAAACGGAAATAGCAAAAATACTGTACATTTAACATATGTCTCTTTCTTTAAATGAGCGATTTTTTTTGGAGGCAATCATGCGATAGACCAGAAAACATGTACGTAATGTTTGTATTCGTCTGCAAAAAGTAAAGGTACATGCTTCTCTTGTGATAATAAAACTGTGTTCAACTCTTCTCGATTGCAATGGTGCTAGTACAATACAGTTCCCTTCATATGACAAATGGCGTAAAAAGGACAACAATGTAACAAAGAATTGCTGCAGTGAAAAAAAAAACGTGGTAAAGAGAAGAAAGGAGGGAACGAAGCAGGTGATGAATCGAAAGGGGAAGTGCAGTATTATGGTATCATATTTACAATAGTGTTACATATCAAGAGTTCTATTTCCAAGTAAGGAGAATCATTATGTGTAGTAGTAGGGAGTGTGCATATTGCATTTCGCTTGGGAAGAAAAAGGTTCTATGTATATTCTAGCTATACTCTGCCCAAATATGAAAAAGTAACAGCCCATGTTTTTCGTGACTCCATAAAATCTATTGCTGTTGCTATATTGTAATTTTAATCCTTCCCCAATAGAAAAAGCCATCGGAGCTAACTGTTGATCGTAGATTATCGACACTAGATGAACCAATAAGGAATTAATTAACATTAGACGAACCAATGACGAATCAACGCGAACTTGCTAATAATATCTCTGGAGGGAGGTACGACGTAATGCGACACAACAACAATAACAATAACAAATGTAGCACTAAGCATCTCATTTGTGGTCATGTGGCACGGAAACCCTTTTACCCCTTTATGGATATCAAAATAAATTAAAATAAACCATGGATTGATTTACGCGGGTTAAGTTTTAACAGAAAGATTCTGTTGAATGACGAACTTAATTGACCATTGATTTATTGAGTAAACGCCGTTGATTAACGCATACAGATCATATGCTAATGAACAACGTGATAAATTATGATAGATACACTTTGATAACATGGGTTGAGCAGATGGTGATATGGAATGGATTATGTAACGTTTGTTGTAACAGGACTTGCCCCTCCCTTGTGACATATATAGGAATGGGGGCATGATGCAATGTCACCGGACAGGTGAACAACCATTGCTATCAACGAGTAAAGCAACAATACGAAACATTAATAATAATACTATTATTAGGGTGTTGATCGATTCGATCTAAGTGATAAAACAACAAAGTCGATCTAGTAATTAATAATACAATTTGTAAAAAATTTTCTTGCGAGGCAAATCAAAATATACAAGACATGTTGCAACAAAACTACGAATTTGTTATATAAAACAATCAAAGTCTTTTAGCTTTTGATATATAGTTTCTTGCACACTAAGATATTACCTTTTTACATACACTGGTACAGTAAGACTATTGGCTTGATAGTGCTTTGAAGAAGTTGGCAGGAAGACATAGTACAGAGCTTCCAATTATTTCAAGTCGATATTGCTAAGAGAAAACCCGGCAATGATACATTTATCTAGTTTTCAGCAGTTGCAACAAATGGATTTATGGTATCATTAAATAAGCGTTACTACTACGTAAGGAGTATTAATTCTTATGTATGCATGCATGTATGCATCACATCCTCTTCCTACCTATGTTCTTCAGATTGCCACACGCGGAACGCGTCTTAAAGTGTAGGCTTTATCCTGGATAATAACCTTTACACCAGTAATTTATTTATACTTTGGATAGGCAGTCCCGGGCCGAAAACATAATAGGACCAATATGCGTCTTCCTCACAGCACTTTTTTCTACTATTTCTTACTCTAGTTTCAGCTAACGATTTTACTTGGGCTATCGACAAATTTTTTGTTGAATTTTGTAGTGCTTATTAGCATTTTTAAATTTGCATGGTATTATTACAAAAAAAGCAATTTGTTATAATGCATAATTCTATGGGTTATGTATCTCGACTGTGTATTTATAAGGGGAGGCAATCATTTCGTGACAATCATTTCATCGACAATCATTTCACCGACAAATATTCACCAACATTATTTCGAAGTTATCCTTTTTTGGTAGTTAACTGTCGGTGAAATGTACTGTCGGTGAAATGATTGTCGATGAAATGATACGGACCCTTTATAAAAATTTTTAGGTCAAAATTGGCGCCAAAATACAGTTAATATAGGTGGTTGGTGACTTTTGAGTAGGTAGTACGTGGGGGAGCTGAAAAGTCTTACACGTGGACCTATATTTCCGGAAATTTCATAATAATTATCGATACAACTATTTTATTCCTTCAAAGTACTCTTCATTAAACTCTATACAACGTTCTAGCCGATTTCACCAATTCTGGAAAGAGTCCTCATAGTCCTCTTTCGGGATACCTTCAAATTGCCCTTGCCAAATTTTCGATTGATTCGAAAAATCACAGAAAGCAAGGTCTAGACTGTATGACGAGTGGGGAAGAAGTTCGACTCGTTCGTTTTGAAGATATTTCGATCGCGGTATTGTGATGAAGCATGACGTCTCAAGCAGTTGTTTATACCGACAATCCCTTTGTTATTGCCCAAATGTAAATAATAATTGCATAGCTACACAAACAAATTACACAGTCAGTCGGCCAAACTACATAAATTCTTGATAAGTTGTGAGCCGGCAACAGGGCGCTAAATATGTATCAAAATCAAAACAATAATTAAACAACAATAATATGTCATTAAAACATGCCCACGCGATAAGCTAGTCTACAGAAATATACTTATTTATATGGTTTAATAAATATCTTTTATTGCGTGATTTTCGATAAATCGAGCAGCCCCAGTTGGCCGGCTTTTCGAGCATGCTGTTGAACATCATTTTGCGCCTCTATATTTTTCTTTACATATTGTGTTATCCGTTTGCATAGTCATATGCATCTTTGGTCATAATTATAGTTGAATTTATGTCGTATCGTAATTAACGTTAACAAAATTATAATCCTAATACCAAACCAAATAAACGCACCAGACAGTCTAGGAATGCA